AAGAGCCATTGATACAAGAACTGGTCCCATCAATTTGATATCTCCGCTTGACACTTCTGCCATTATCTGTCCAATGATGCCCAATGAGCTGCCATTTGCGGCAAAGCACGGAACCCCGACAGAACATAGGGTACGACACTTTCAGGGTAGAATGTTATAAATAAACTCGGAAATGATAGTCGCGAACGCACTGGTATCGAAGAACATTCTAATTTCAACCCCCTCTATCATTCCGATAACAGCGGATGAACCCACAGCCGCGGCAACCACCCTATGGGCCAACTCCGACCACAGACCCAGTCGGAGTGGCCAGCCAGCCCGAGCATAATACGAACCCTCACGCCCCGACACACGATGGAAATGAAAACCATCCGAACACGATGAGTGAGGTGGATTTAAGGGCCGAGTGTGTGGTGTGTCGCGACTCGCCTTGGGATATAGCAGAGTTGAGGGCAGTCGGGAAGATGATGGCGGTGGTCTGGGGAGGCGTCGCCGTGGTTCTCGGCAACCCACAGTTGTAGCACACAACGGAGCCTCTTCCAAGACGAGGAAGGGTCTCCCGCCGTCGATGTTGTCCATCTCGTTGCACCATGCTGTCCCCCCACCAGCCTCTGCCTTGGGCCAATCGCAGGCTTCTACGGGCTCCACGTCTTCGGGTGTATCACGTGTCTCAAGAGGCACTGTACACGCCACCAACCCCTTATGTTGTTTCAAAAGCAGGTGCGCCTGGATGCACCTTGCAACTTTGAGGAAAGATAAATCATCTTCCTCCGTGGCTGGCAGGACGATGTTGAGGTCCTTTGCCAACGTCAGCAACCTTTCGAGGACCAGCGAGTCGACTCCATCGTGGTCCATCTTCGGGAATGCAGCCTTTGCTAGTGCCAACAGCATGCTGCGGAAGGCGAGGGGCATCTCGGCCTCCCCTCTCCTCCACGCAGCAAACTTATGGCGAACATTCGATGGCGGGTCATAAATTGCTGCCATTTGGGCAAAGGCCTGCTGAAGCGTTGCCCTCTCCGATGGTGGGGTTGCGCAAAACGCCTCCAAGGCATCGTCAAGCGCGGCGGGTAGCGCTCTCAGCGCCTCCGCCTCCATCCATTCAGCCAAGTCGCAGTTCGTCTGGAAATGATGCTTGAAGGCCACCCAGTTACCTCCAGCGGCTGAAAATTCTTTAACAAACTGTAGACGTCGCCTGAGGGATGGGATCTCGACTGGCGAACTCGGTGGACTTTCAGACTTGGCGGGCTCTCTGTCCTGCTCCGATAACAAAATGGCGGCCGTGTGCGCGTGTTGCGCCACGGAGCTTTCCCGCTGGCGGGAAACAGCGATAGAAGACTCGGCTCCGCGCAGCTCCAGTGCTCTCTCCTCCACCACCGGTTTTCCACGGTCGAGCTCAACGACCATCGCAGCTACGGCCTCAAGAAGTTCAGCGAGGCGTGCTCGGAACGTACGGCGCTCTCTCCCTGCCAGCGGGGAGCCGTTGCTAAGATTGTCATCGCGTTGCTCTGCCGGCGGCGCCTCGCTCCCTTTTTCCGGGGTCGCCATCCCCGGGGCTATCTGGAGAATAACGCCTTCATCGTCCTCGTCGTCCGACAACGTCAAAAAACTTTGGCCACTTCTGACGCCAGTTGTAGCGGGTTCAACTGATTCGCAAAACATAGGCTTTGGAGGCAGGACATTTATTTAGTTCCAACACATGGGGTAACTTCGCCTAAACAGAACAACAACCTCGGGTGGTGACCACCCGGCTAACTACACTAATTACTACGTAACTGTTACTACGGACCCAGGACCAACAGCATCTGCTCGGATCCACGTGCTGGAAGACTTGTAGAACGTAGATCACAGACGAAGGGTTCTTTTCCTAGGATGAACAACCCCGGTCCCTCTCGGGACTCGGCTTATATTCTCTGCGGCGTGACTGGCTCCGCCCTTGGCCACGTCCACCTTCCGGAACCATCGGAAAAGAACTGGGTCCTTATCACGTGACCCCCCTAGCTCCCTCTTGGGGGCCCTCTGTCATCTTAACCGGTCACGTGTCCTCCTGTGTCAAGCAGAGTGCCATGGCCTTACTCGACCTTCCCCTTTGGTCAGCACCCACACACCATGCCCTATAGGGCTAGCACTGCACTTACAGCATGGTGCCATCCAGTGCTATTACTCAACGCACACCGTGCCCCTCTAGGGCCGGTACTGCACGCACAGCATGGTGACATCCAGCGATGTCACTACACAAACAAGAGCTCATCCTGAAGGCCATGGCGACAGTACGGGAAGGCCCTCACGCTGTGGCGAGGGTGATTCGGGGCAGAGCTCCTGGGTGCCAGCTCTGCGTGGTTCGGGAACCTTGCCGTTCTCGTGATGAAGAGCAGCAGCCCTGCGTGCTTTGCTAAAGGCAATTGATGTTAGTGGTGGCCGTGATTGGAGGCCAGTGCATTGACCAGTGTGGTGAAGTATGGCTAATCATCCAGCAGTGGATATATCATGGCTGCTGCTGCATTAGTGAAGGCTTAGGGAGGCCTTCGTCCAGTTGTGGTTAAACTGGATGATGATGCTGATGGTGAATTAGAGGTTAGAAAGCGAGGTGAGGGAGACATTCATTCAGCAGTAGAGAGACCCTTGCTGATTATACTAGTGAATTAGAGGGGGCAAAGGTTAGGTGAGGCCTTCAACCAGCAGTACATTGACAAAAGGCCTGTGTTTAGAAAAATGCATATAAATAACTACTGGATATTCATAACTTTTGGAGAGTGAGAGAGTAAACCCCTTATCCCGCAAATTGTTTTGTATACACTCACATAATCAATATTAACATACAATCGGATGTAAGGACAGCACCACTTTGTATGCACTCATTGAATAAAGTGTAATTTAGAAACGGGCATAAGAATATAATCAACAGATATCAGTCATACCTGGTTTATCATATTTTTTGGGCTAATCGCTGTGTGGATTCATTGCAGTCAGCCAACCCATGGCACCTGCTTGGTCTATCCCGAGACCTGTCAGCGATCCTTCGACACTTCACGTGGCCTCAAATTGCACGTAGCCTGTCACAGGCGCCGTGGCGAATGGCAGGTATTACTATTCGGATTAATTGGCAATCGATCCATGGATCGAATAATCACGTGACACGTCCCTCTTTTTAAATCCTTTATATTAAGTTCGCGTGCTTGCTTGCTTGCTTAGGACCGTGCAAATCTTTCGGTCGTTTTTTAACCCACTTCCCGTGATCCAATCGAGCTGACATTTTCCACACAGACTCGTTGTGTGTGACAATTAATTTTCGTGAAATTTTTTCCAAAATTTTACACTGTTTAGGGAAAACTAATTAAATATTTAATTACCAATTGCTTAATACTGGCAGACAATCATCTGACCCATAGATTGCAGCCATCTCAAGCCAGAGGACGAGAGAACTCTAGCCGCCACGCATATAAAGGATTTAGAGTGAAAAACTTTGTTTTTACGGGTTTACTTGTTGCAATTGGTTATGTGCAAAATCGGCGATCCGGTCTCAGTCCCCGTGTATTGTATACCACAGCGCATTACAAGTTGACACCGCTATTATTATTAAACTAGCCTTTTGCCCGTCCAAGGACGGGTGTGTTGCAGTAAATCTGAAAAAGCAGGCCTGCTATGTGATATTCATTGCATTAATGCGTGTGCAATTTGTAAGGGCGCGGTGACACAGACCTATTTCATTTTAAGGTTATAATCCCTTGTTCATCATGACGTCCTTTTTACTTTGATGTCTCAATAGCGTTACGGAGATCGCGTGACGTGAGGGTTCTGCCTTTGTAGTGAGGGTTGTAAGTTGATGCCGTGGAGGGGGGAGGAGGCTCCTCGGCCCCCCATGTGGAATGACGTCAGCCGCTAATTATTATGGAGGACGTCACCTTGTAATTATTATTAATGAGAGGGGCTATTCGACGTGGATTGACGTCACGAGCGTTACACACAGACATTGTCTCATTATAGTAGGTAATAATAATGGGGGGGTCCATTTGGAGGTCACCTGCTCATGAATATTTTCCACACATTATTAAATTACAGCAATGCACATACAATGAATGAACTAGGCTGGTATATTTATACCTTTGATATTTAATACTGGTAGGAACCTCCTGGTTACACCAGCCCACAGGGGATTATTGTGTTCGTCCGTCGTGCAGGGTGGGGCTGGGTGGGGAGGGAGGGGCTGGGTGGGGAGGGGAGGGTGGGGAGGGGCTGGGTGGGGAGGGGCTGGGTGGGGAGGGTGGGGCTGGGTGGGGGGTGGGAGGGAGGGGTGGGCTGGGTGGGGAGGGGCTGGTCACCCTGTGGTGCCCTTAAAAAACTCAACGTTTAACCTACTCACGATGGCTTGTGCCCGCCCTCACAGTCGGGCATATTTGCGGAATACACCACGCCGCCGTTGGCCATTGACCGAGCAACCCAACGTTCCTACCAGCTCCCTCCGCAGGAATGTGTTTAGGAAAACATTCCGATCACCAGTGTGGTTTTAACTTGTATAACACACGACTGTATACAGCACAACAGAGCGTAAATTCCAACAGATTGCATTGCACGCTCAAACGCCACATCAATAATTACGAGCGCGTGCGTATCACGGCCTTCGCCGTCGACGATTCACGGCGACTTGAAACAGACACTGATTACAAAATTTAGTAATCTGTGCACGGTTTAACGCTTAGGCGTGTGCACAGCTGCTCGCGACAAAGCCCATGGTTTCAACGGTGGCCCGAAGTGGATTTGCTGCGCTGCAAACAATGGGGGTGGGCGTCGCTGAACGTTGATGAGCCCAAAGACCCAAATTGGCACGCGGCTTGGTGCGCCTTGCAGGTGGTCGCGCGCACGTAGGTATAAAAAGTAGGGGCAGCCGTAGTGAACGATCAGTGAGACTTGTGGGTCCGCTTTTTTTTAAGTCCCAGAGGCAGCGAAGCTGGTTGTTAAGTTTTATCCCGTTCTGAGATCCCCGTGGTGGTGAGCACAGCGTAAGAATGGCTAGTGCGGTTGTTGAGCATTGCGTGACTCCAAGCAAAATCCCCCTTCCCGCCGATGATGAAGAAGAAGAAGAAGAGGAGGATGAGGAAGAAGACTGGTGAGCTTTATTTTTTTCGTGTACTGCCAACCACGACCTTGATCGCAGTGCCCAATCTGTGTAAGTGCGTCAGGGGCCTACATCTTCCCCCCCCCCCCCCCCCCCCTAGGGAGCTGTAGGCCCCTGGCGTGTGTTTGGGAGGACCTGTGGGTCTCCACGATGGCGAAGCTTTCGAGGTGTGTGCAGGTTCTCTAACTGCAACTCTGCCTACGGGGAGGGAGTTTGACCCGAACTGCCCTCCCCCCGTGCTGTTTAATCTCTCGCACCAGTGCCCCAGGGGAAGTTTCTGCGCCACGATGCTCCGTCTCGAGCTGCTAACGTCGTTTGTGAGCCCTCGTGACTCGGGCATAGCTAAGCTAAACATTTTAAATTGTACCAGGGTAAGCCCACTGAGGTATATAGAGCTATTTTAAGACGCGACCTGGCCACGGTGACAACTCTACAAAGTGGTCTATCGGGTGTAAACTGTATGGCAGCCAAATACGCCAGGTGTGTGTGTTCTAAATTTGCACGTTAAAAACCAGAGGGCCCGGAGACTGCACACAAGCTGACAACTCTCCTCGTTTAAGGCGTAATTGCGAGCGTGTCTCTCAACTAACAGAAAGCCGAGTGGCCGTTCTTGAGATCTTGAATTAAATGTACTAATGTTCACTACTGGAGTAGAGCGGTTGTAAATGTTGTGGATTTGCTCTCTAAATCACCATTGTGATGTACTAGAAACATTGCGTCGCGAACGCCTCGGTGTTTTTAAACGGTGCACGTGTTTGTCGGTCCACTGTTAGATGATGAAGGCTTCCTCACGCACTGTTAGGTCACGATGTTTGGACCATCTTTTGCCACGCTGGTCAATGCAGGTTAGGAGTTTAAAATCACTCGAATGCATTTTAATATCGGACTAGCGTTCTGGATCACACAACGAAATTAATGACGAGAGGTTTTCTTTAGCAAGTTACGGTATCGAAGTTTTTTCTTTTACAACCGTCAATTGGCTCTTGTGTAAAAAAACAAAATAGCATATGGGAATACGCTTAAACTTTTTAGGCACGTGTTTGCCTGCGTTTTTTAAACGTGGAAAAAATACTAGTCGGCGGTGTACCGCGACGAATGTTTTTTTTATAAAGTTAATAGGTGTAATTTGGGTTTTAACACTCGCAGATCTGCAAGCCAAACAATCTCTAAACGTTTTTTTTTTTTGGCGCGTGAGGCGCAGTTTAATTACAATTCCCACATTTTTCAATCTGTAATAATACGGTACATCCAAGATTTTAAGTGGTTGGACGTGTAGTTAAAAGTGAACTTTCTAAATTGTTTACGGTAATATCCTGAACTTGAAACACGTTAACTCGTTGTTTTCCTGCCTGCTCCTACCGATGGCTTATCTGACCCAAATTGCATAGCCCGCGTGTGTAATTCCAAGTAAAATGCCGTGATCTTTGTTTTTGGAGAAAATTGCTACATAACGATTGCTAAAACGCACTCTGCATTAAGTTAGTTTTTTTGTCTTAAGTACTGTATTAGCAACACCTGAAATAACTGTAGTTGGTGCAGGTGCGCTCTGCATTGATGGCACCGCTTCGAATGTACAACCGGATTCGTTGATGTGCTCTTGAATTGCCTTGCACGATTATTTCGCAGTCTAAGTGTTTCTGGGTGACATTTTTTCAAAGATGTAAGTTGCAGGTGCTGCAATAGCCTTTTTGCAAACGTTTCTTTACAGCTGCTTTGTTAAATTAATCCCCCCCCCCCCGCACCTCCCTATTAGCGCTGTTGGCGACATACGGCGCCAGAGTTCATACGTAGTACTGGAATGGGGTTCTCAACGAAGCTTGTGCTGTAATGTTTTTTTAATGTGGCCCTCACCATCCCGAATACATTTTTTAAGTTGTGGTAATGGTCTTGTATTTGACTTCGGTTTCCACTCGTGGCTGACCAGGCGAGGTCGCACCATTGCCATATGTTATATGAACCTTAAATCTTCGTAGTGCATGCCGTTGGATATCTGGTATGAGCTTAAGGGTGTGCATTAACGCTGCACATGTCATCCTCTTGGTTTGCGTTTACCGAGGGTGTAAAATCGGTACGTGAGCAGGCAACTGAACTTTAACCAAAATAACAAATGGTTTCTAAATCCTACCCCTTGCATTAATCTACTTCTGTTGCTTAGCTTCGGCTCTTCAATGTTGGTAGTTGGCGAGCCACCCAACCACGTAACGTAAGGATACTGGAACGCATACGTTCATTAGGGGCTACCCATTTGGTACGCATGGAGAGGGGGGCGGTAACCAAAATGCGTAATTGGGTCTACTGAATGTACGTACGGTTTTAACACCGGCTTTCGCAACCAATACTATTCATAAAGGTTTTTGGGTTAAATCGCGTTATTAAATGTTGCAACCCTCCACCACCCAACACGGCTAATCGGTAAAACATTTTTACGTTAACAAAGTCAAGTAGTTTGCCATTTCAGCCCACAAGTGAGAATCCACACCATTCACAATTTGAGTACGACGGACGTTTCGCTAGAAATTACATGCGGCATCTTCTGTCGATTTGCCAGAATGCTCTTCTGGTAAGTCGCCCGAAGATGCTGGATGTAATTACGTTTTACTCCAATTGTAAATGTTGTGGGTTCACTCAACACCGGTGGGCTGAAGTAATGCATATTTTACTTTCACGTGACTTATGGATTTGCCGTGTCGGGTTGAGGGTTGCGACACAACTCTATGTATAACCCAAAAAGCTTTTATGAATGTACGTACACATAGGAAACGGGGGGGGGGGGCGGGTGAAGCCTCGATAACTTTCCTATATTGGCCTTCAAATGAGTTGGCTAGTCCGAAGGACTGTTTGCTTACACACTTTAAATATCGGCCGTTCTATAGGATTCGGGTGGTGCGTCAAGCGTACGTACACAGGTGGGGTGTAAAGTAGGTGTGCATACAGGGAGGGGGGGTCTGTTTTGACAGATTTTGCGTACGTACTAAATGAATGGTCCCTTACCGCTAGAATAGGGTGGGGGGGGGTTGAAGGAAATGTGGTACCGCCCCTAAAATAAAGCGTGTGGAAAATATTACAAATGAAATACGTCCCCACTTGAATTCGCCTTTATTTTGCTGCGAATGTGATCAACTGCCCTTGCAGCCCCGAAATCCTTGAGGTGGCAACTGCCATTCAATTGCTGGAAGAAGGCAAGCAGAATCTTGCCGATGGAAATATCCCGTCAGCTGTGGATGCTCTCCAAGACAGCTGCGCGCTGCTGTGAGTAGCCACATTACCACACCCGTGCTTTGCATTGGCCCACTTTTGCATCGTTGTGATATTTTTTGTCTTTGCCAGAACTGACGTTGGTGTATCTGCTATAGTGGTCTTCCTCTTTTGGAGGTTGCCATCTATAAACCCAGGATACTTGCAAATGAGATTCCAGGTCTTAGGATTATTTGGATTTCAAATTAAATCCAATACGCACTGGTATATTAAGTGACAGATGACATTGGCTTTGTAACAACAAGATGCTATATTGACAGAGCCCTTTTTAGTAGTCATTAAGCCATGGGTAGCATTTTATGCTTTACTTGAATGCATAGTTTCTTTACAATATGGTAGTTTTATTTAAATGGTAGCATTTGGGATATTTAGTCCACGTTTCATCTACAAAAATTTTAATTATGACTTGCACTTGGTCTAATTGCACAGTTAGCATGTTTAAAAACAATGAATTAAAAAAGTTTTAAATAAAATGCAAAATAGTCGGCAGTCTGGTTGCGACTGGTATGTCTACCCATCCTGTTTGGTTGTATCTGCTCTGATGCTTTTGTCACAGTGCCAAGGAGTTTGGGGAGACTGCAAATCAGTGCGGGGAAGCATACATGGTGTATGGGAAAGCATTACTTGAACTTGCCAGGTGGGACTACACTGCTCATGGGTTTCTGTTTTATTCAAGCTGCATGGTGCATAGTCCTTGGTGTTTTTGACCAGATTAAAGGCTTACAAATGGCTCTTCTCTTTAGAAACTCTTTTGGAATTGCTTATTTGTAACAATCCATTATGGCTTGATTTCACCATACACTGCTGTCCAAACTGACCACCTGTTGCCATACACTAATGCTAGCCCAACCCTAGGTTCTTTACTGGACTAGGTTTCCCATTAAACTTCCTGAGCATTTAATTTAGTAACTTTTTTGGAAGTAGTTGCTTTATATTAAATACTGGCTTTTTAGTATTCTTGTTGCCAAAAGTAATCGGTAAACCTATAAGCACATACACGTTTTTTAAAAGTCAATGTTACTTGAGTACCAAAACGCTGCACCTTACATGTTGTTGAAAATTCTAGATTGCCTTTTGTATATTGTGCTAGGAATTATGACTTGTTACTGAAGCGTATTGGTGCTCGTGACACGCGTTTAATGTTTTGTTAGGAAGTTGCTTAAATTAACTTGTCATCCCACGGTGTGATGGTAATTAGACCCGATGTCACGTTCAGATTTGTAGCAATGGACCAAAGGCTGGTTTGTATATTTGCTGCTGCTAGACGGGCCCAATAATGACACGCGTCGCGCACCATCTTAATGGCCTATTGTGCCGTGTTGCCATTAATTTCAGTACTGAATATGCAACAGGACTCGAGCCACCTTGCTACATTGTCTGTACAGGATAGAGAACGGCATTGTAGGAAAAGCCTTGGAGGGAATGCCTTTGGAAGAGGCTGGAGTAAGCAATGAAGAGTGTGGTGATACGGACATTGTGGCAGGTATGAACACAAGGGCCCAGTCTTATCAAACTTTGCCTTAAGGCACTCATATGGAAGCTTACATTTTCGATTGAGAAAAATCGTTAAATTTTACTTGTGCAATGTACTTAGAACTTTAACTTATTATTCCAATACTTTGCATTGGTTTTTATGTGTCTTTCTGCCCTTCCTAGACTTCTGTAAAGAGCTATAGCCCATCAATTTCTTTCAGGCTAAATGCCAACATTTGCCAAAGTGTTTTTGTGCAATGTCTTATCTAGAATGTTAAGGTTTCCAAATAGTGGGCTGTTCAACAAATGTGATTACCACATTTTATTAGAATCTTCATGCTTCGGACTGCTTGTTTTAAATTTGAACTACTGCCCAAGCTTTTTCCACTGTACTAAATAGTTTGCAAGTAAACAGACAATGCTGGCCACGCAAGATTGTTTATCATGTAGTCTAATTTGTATCCTACTTGGTATCCATTTTATTGTAATGCCATTGGCAGATGACGTTCAGACGGAGGAGGAGATGGAGCAGCTTCGTGAAAAGGTTTATGATGCCATGTCGGAGGGGAAGTTGAGCAGTGACGCAGAGGAGGATGTTGGCTTTAGAGATGGAGAAACAGAAGTGGTAGGCATGCAGGTTCAGGAACAAAAAGGTATGTGGGTACACAAGTTTTTCCAAAGGTATGCAGTACTCTTGCCTGACTTCCCTTTGGCTTGTAGTTTATCAACCGAATTTTAGATCTGAAATTGGACGATATTTGGTCATGTCTCGTGTACAATATTGTGGGGTTTTGTGCTAGCTTCACGTTTTTATGTATCCTTTGTGGAGCTTGGATCGTACTTTGAATTCTGTTTTCGAAACGAGTGACTATTTAAAAATAGAATTTGGGAATTTCAACTCCTTATTAAACCCGTCTCATCCCTGCCACAGACTCTGAGGACAAGTCTGCAGCAGAAGACAAAGCTGTAGAGGGTGACCAGAAAGTTGAGGTGGAGATGGCAGAATCTGTAGTAACCAATGCCGTGGCTAAATCAACTGCTACAAATGGCAGCTTCTCTGAAGAGAAACCATGTTCAAGTGGCAGCCTTGAAAAGCCTACAGCCCCCAAGGCATCAGTAGTCAATGCGGTGGACAAACCAACCTGTACAGATAGCAACAACTCTGACGAAAAACCGTCATGTTCAAGTGGCAGCCTTGAGAAGCCTGCAGCTCCTGAGGAATCTGTAGTAGCCAATGCAGTGGACAAACCAACTTGTACAGATGGCAGCAACTCTGACGAAAAACCGTCATGTTCAAGTGGCAGCCTTGAGAAGCCTGCAGCTCCTGAGGAATCTGTAGTAGCCAATGCAGTGGACAAACCAACTTGTACAGATGGCAGCAACTCTGAAGAAAAACCGTCATGTTCAAGTGGCAGCCTTGAGAAGCCTGCAGCTCCTGAGGAATCTGTAGTAGCCAATGCAGTGGACAAACCAACTTGTACAGATGGCAGCAACTCTGAAGAAAAACCGTCATGTTCAAGTGGCAGCCTTGAGAAGCCTGCAGCTCCTGAGGAATCTGTAGTAGCCAATGCAGTGGACAAACCAACTTGTACAGATGGCAGCAACTCTGAAGAAAAACCGTCATGTTCAAGTGGCAGCCTTGAGAAGCCTGCAGCTCTTGAGGATACACTTGAGGAGCCTGCTGTTCTAAAGAGGCGCAGTGACCCACTATGTCCAGATAGCATGGAGCATGGAACTGCTCATTCGAATGACCTCAAGGAAACAAGTGGGCTAGTGAATGACGAAGTCGATAAGAATCAAGGCCAAGGTGTTATCTCCAACGGAAAGCATGATGCACCTCGGGAGGCCTTGGTGAAAGTTGGTAAGAAATGTGCAGAATAGTTTAACACTTTGGGCTCGATTGCATAACTATAAGGTTTGTCACGTAAACAGAACATACCAATTCGTTACTAGTACAGCACACCAGTGGAACGCCACGCCACTATTTACAATCTGAGTACGATGTTTTGCCAGTAATTACAACTAGCTTCACGAGGCAATAGCCAGGTTTTTGAAGTCCACTTGTTTCATTCCTTAAATGGAGGCATAGATGTGGTGACGTGACCCATCTTTTTGCACGAAGTGGGGATTAATTAATGCATGTACATGACAATGGGTTTCTATTGCTGTGTTGGTTATATTGTAATCTGTACATTAGACATGCCCCGTTGTACTTTCTGCTTTTGTAACTAGCCCTACCAATGGTAGTCCCTAAATTGCTGTGTGACCTATACAGGCATGCATTTAAACACGTTGGCAAGTCGAGTAGCACATCAACCTAGTGATGCAACTCGGTCGGCTAACATTGGCAGGAAGTATAGAAATATCACGGCAGATTAAGACTTTACCTGGTTAATCATGTCCTTCCGGTGATTGCTCGGTTTGTACCCATCTCAGTTGAAATTGTCTATCTGGATGGCTTAATGAACGAATCTTTGATAACCAGGTGGGTTTGCCAGTACCTTCATCTTGGAAGAAATAATTTCATATGAACCCATAGTTAAAACAATGATCGACCGAGGTATTGGTCCTGCCGTGTTTTTGAGATCTGCCATATGTTCACGAACATGGTCTGAGACGTGTCACTTTCTCCCAATGTAACTACTACCGCAGGCACAGCTTGGTATGCAGACACCGGTATATTGCATGTCGGGGATCCCATCCTTCCAAGATGAGATCAGAACACGAATTATATGTACTGGTGAATACCACCTGGATCTTGTTCATGCTTTTGGAAATATTTTTGGTAACCCCTGCTGTGTATGGCAAGATGGTTTGGATTGGATCCTCAAATGGCTCTCCCCAAGATTGGTGACAGCTTTACAGATTTTGCGGTCCGAATATCCATTTATCTTGGGCTTGGTGTACGTGCTCCAGTTCACTGGCCAGGTGGTGCTGGTTGGATATGCAACGGGCCCTAATGGTGGAGTGTTTTGAGGGAATTCTTCTGGGTTGGATGGTGGTGGGAGTTGGATTTTAGATGGGCATCTGTGGGTGGCTTGTCTGTAGACTGTATCCCAAATGAGCCATCCTGGTCTCCTTTACGATTTAAAACATCCAAGAATGGTAACTTGCCTTTTCCACTTCCCATAGTGAATTTTAATGGCTGGGTATTTGGAATTGTGATTTTGGTCAGTTTCTCTCGCCTGTTACAATCAAAACGTCAATCTCTTTCTAACAGCGTGACTTTAAAGACCCAAATAGTATGATTTCCTGCAGTCGCGAAAGCTTTAAATCAGTTTACTTCAAAGCAGGACTAAGTCCTAGCTATGTGAACGGTTCTAATTAATTTTTAACCATGAAACACGTTCCTTCGGAGAGCAGATAGGAACTTGGTTGACCAGCGCATTCGTGGACGACAAACAGCTCGCTTCAACCAATCCGGGAGCGTGCATGTTTGGGGGGGGGGGGCTATGCACGACAATCCCTGGTGGGCAGTGGAAGCTGTTCCTACCTGTGTAATACAAGTCTCTATACTTCAGTTGGGATTACCATTAGTATGACTATTTTAGGACGATAGCCAGGTAGTACAATAACAATGGGCTGTGCATGCATAATGTACGTCAAGTACCATATAACCCAAATAGCAATGGATACCGCATTCATTAATCTCCCCCCAATTCACTAGCGCACAAGTGTAATACACCTTGTTAAGGAACGAAACCGACTTCTCCATCTGGCTATCGCCTGATGACGCTAGTTGTAATTCCTGGCCAAACATACTTGGCTTGGCTTTCCAACACACATGCTGTACTCGTAACAAATTGGTATGCTGTTTTACGTGAAGCCTTAATTGGCTGTTGGGTGTGTTTTCGGAACATTTATGCAATCGAACCCAACCTATACATAACATTGGTTTCGAAAGCCCACATGTTTAAAAATTGGTAAACATTGCTCTTCACCAAAGTTAATCTTTTATGCCCCCTTACATTTCTCCTGCTTTTTAAAATCTCTTCTCCTATGAAGACTCTAAGCCAACAGCCCATTCCTCCATGGATATACCCAACGGTCCAAAAATGGATTTGGAAGAAGGTGACGAGGCTGAAGTTGATATGGCCGAAGATGTTGCAAAGGTAACTGAAGATTGGCGACTGCTTGCTGCACAATTTATCCAATGGCTCCTGCATTGCAAATATTGGCCTGTTTTTTATTGACCTCTTCTCGTCTGTATGCTCAAATCTTGTAACTCACTTTTTACACTTCCCAATGCTATCGACTGCAAACTTCGTATAGGTATGTCGTGCTGATGACAATACTCTATTCTATCATTGAAAATTAACATTTTTAAACTATCTTTTTTACGGCTCTAATTGTCGATGCTCGACTCGTTGGCTGTAAATCACCACGGTCCCTTGCGTTACGGGGAGCCACGGCGAGGGGTGGGGGGGGTGTGGCAGGAGGAGCGAGGGGGCAAGGAGAGGGGCATCTTGGACGGTACATTTCATTAAAGCGTTAAGTGTTTTTATTTTTGTAGAAGGAAACAATGCTCTTAAGATGTCCATGTACAAGGGGATACCTTTCCTTTTCAAATAGGCTGGTTTAAGCGGTGTCACTGAACTTTGAACCTATAAATTGAATCTTGGCCATGCACCATTTGCGCATTTCCGTCTCTACTTCAAAGTAGATGGGGTGTAGGGGCCTGGAAAAGGCTGCTATCTACTGCACCCAATCGTGTGCATTTACAATAAGTACTTGATAGCCCCTAAAGCCCAAAAATGGCTTGCTGGGATATCTTTTTGTCTTGGTGTGGTTATACCTTTAACGTTTTAGTGTTTGCCTTGGATTACGGCAGCAAGCTTATTTCATAATTGGGCTTGTGCTTAAAATGTCAACCGTGCATGGAATTTGCAGTTGTACAGGGACAGAATGGTGAATTTTAAGTGAGGGTCTTTTTGTGGCACGAATTGATTTGCTCCTGGGGGAGTGCATGCCTGGCAAATCCCATTTTTTTTGTAATTAGAAAGTGCAACTGGCATACTCCAGGAACATTCACATTGAATTATTCAAATGGCCTGATCTGGTTCAAATGATGTAGTTTTAGCTGAAACGTTACTCTAACTTTCGAAGAATGTAACTCCTTCATATTTAAACTCTTCAGGACACTAATGATGTGGATGATTCGCGAGAGGAAGTTTCCCATATGCAGCTTGCCTGGGAGATGCTCGACCTGGCAAGGGTCATCTGTACAAGGTAGGACCTGATGCCAATTTCTGGACTATATTCGTGGCTAACATTTATGGGTTTGCTAATTTGATTTCTGTACAGCTGTTTTAATAGTAGTTTGCTTGTCTGTTTTACTTGCAGAAACATTTTCATAACAGTGAAATATGGGTGGCTTTTTTTGCAGGCAACGCAACCGTGAAGCGCAACTCCATGCTGCAGAGGCTCTTCTCAAGCTAGGTGAACTGGGTCTTGAGAAAGGTGCTTCACACCATCTCATTCTTGTGCACGCACCATCTTACATTTTAAATTTTTGAAAGTTTGGGTGGATTTGAGAGATTTTATTTGCTATAGCATAAGATTAAAGGAATTTCTATTTGTAGGTCTGCAGCCATCAATGTAACAGAAGATGGCATCCCTCCACAGCCCACTAAATGAAATCTTAACAAATTCTATTAACGTGGTGGTCAATCATTGATCCCCCATCTCCAGAACCACACCAATGGCCCTCTAGTCCAAATCGGGCCTAGGACAAGGATCCTCTAAATGAATGTGGTACTCCCCAGGCCAATGGCGCAGTATCTTGCAAACGCATAATTAAGACCGTAACATTGTCCTAACACTTCAAGAAACGTGTCTTGTATGCCCAACATGCCAGTTGCTACCACATCTCTGGCTATAACCTCACGATGAGCCATTGCCACCCAAAATATGGCTTTGCCATTATTTCTGCACCTTTCCGCCAACTGAAAAAGATAAGGTAACTGCACATCACCATGTACAGAGCCAGTATTTTCAATTGCACCAATCCCAGTCCTATACGTTAATGACTAAACGGCAACCAATACAGTAGATCGGACAACACTGGTCGCCAGAGATCTGCGCCTTGATTTCAATCCTAAGCAGCAAGCAACAGTCCACTGCTTGCTAGCAATGTAATTACAACCCCGGACTTCATGATCCATTTCCAAAGATCAAAGGTGGGAGCATACTTCGTGCATCCCTGAAAAATACTTGCAAGCTTCCCCAAAAGCCAACATGGGTCCATTGATTTCTGTAAACCATTTACCAAGATAGAACTTGGCCACAGCTGACTGGGAACCACTGGCTGTAAGTCGCGTTCCTTCAACACCGGAATGACAGCTTTGGCTTCATTGCTGCTGCACAGGGCATCCCCCGAGGCTTCTGAAAATACTTCCTGCTGGTCAAAAGTCCCAGGACCTGCAAAATTACAACCATTTGGGCAGCCCACAGGTGTGCATGGCCTTGCTCTAGTGTCTTTAGACTTGAGCAGACCATCAGTGGTGGATTGTACATTAAGGCCTGGACTTCACATGCTTTCCAGCCACCCTTTTATATCCAGGTGTTGCTAACCCAAAAGGATGCTGACAGATTATATAACCTCCATAAACTAGTGGCAAACACGAAGACACGCATGTTCAAAAACCCCACCGCCATCAACCGAGGAAGGGGTCTGGCTTAGAGGCAAGGCTTTAAGCAGAAATGAGATTATTCTCCCTTCCTCCACATCGGCCAAAGGGAACTTGAATGGCTGACAAACCTGTGCCTAAGCCCTGGCAGGAGGCAATAGTCGGTGCAGTACCCAAACCGGGCTAGCCAAAAAGCTATAGGCTGATGGTCATGATCATAACTCATGGAATGCATCCTCCTGTGACCCCCCCCCCCCCCTTTGGTCATCCCCGAAGTAAGATTCTGGCCTAGATCTTGGCTGCTGTGATAGGTTTTGGTCCTTGTGACGTAACTTTTTTTTAAGGCAGGATTCCAGGAATTCAAGACTGGTGCAGCCTTTAGACTTGTCAGCCTAAAATACAGGTCTGGATTAGTGCTCGTACTTCCCTCTACACCTGGATATGCATGCTGCTGTGCAATAAGTAACTATCTAATCTGGCCGACAAAGCCAGCTCGCCCTGCTTTGCCAATGGCTTGCTACAAAGTTCAATACTCGATGGCAAGTCTAAGTGACATGCCGCAAACCACGTCGCACAGATTGGTATGCAGCGAACCTTGCCCTGGAAACACACGCAGCTACTTTCAACAAACATCTACTCTAAACAAGACCTAAACACCATAGCAATATTTCCAGAAATGGATGTTGAAGCAAATCTCCCATAAAACAGCTACTGCATTTCATCTTTGAGTGCCAAGCCCACTGAAGTGACCAGTGGCAACACTATGACCCAACTTCTATTTTGGAGTGAAGCTGGGACGTATGCAAACCTCACATGACCACCTTAAAAGGTAGCCACAAAGACCAAAACATGGGTCCACTTGGTCCAGAAACTAGAGTACCAGTGACTGATCTCAACAATGGCCTTTGTGTTCTCAAGCTGAAATACTGTACCAGGTAAAATGCAGAACTAATAATTTGCCTTTATGTCCAACTAAACACTGCAGTTTGATTTATCACTAGTTTACCCGTACACCATGGCTGCCTTACGGTCACACCTCTCACCCATCTTCTGCAACCTTCTGGGAAGTCTTATCAAACGGTTGCCTTTCCATTCACCAGTACCTAACATCCCTCGTCATTGCACGAAGTGTGCAAGCTATTTTAGACCAACGTGCTTCGCCCTCATCAATGAGCATTCCACCATTTGAAGCTTGGAGCTGAACAGGCTTCAAAGCACTTGCAAATGCCTTGTAAAAGGCCCAACGCAGATTATCCCTGAGTTTGATCTTCCACAACTGTCCACCCTAAACCACATCCACTCAAACCATAATGGATGCAGATACTTGATACACAAATTGAAGAGAAAAAAAAACTGACTGGTATTCGGAACACGGATGCAATGCCGATCCACAATTACAAATTAGACATTGCAGTGCACTCCGCTGCTCCTGCATGTGACTGGGTTGACCACCCGAATGCGAAATTGTACCTCAGAATCTACATCGGCCATCTTCCCAGTCCCCATTCTGCACCTGAATACCCCATTATTCACAACTTTCGATCCTGCAATCGGATCTTGAAGTCTACACCTTCATTTTAAATCGTCTGTAAACTTAGTAACAATACATTTGAAAAGAGCTATTTATCAGCCAATATCTGCAAGATATGCTGTTTACAATCTCACCTTCATGCCTTGTGAATAACGACCACTACAGTAATACCTCCTGGCTATGAAGTCTATTCCTGCAGCTTCATGTGCATAAAATACTTGACTATGTTAATTTGCCTTTTTAATAACTCTAACATTTGGAAATATTTGTCTTGGCTTGCATCAGTTTCTGTTTTTAATGAATCGACCTATAGCTTGACAATATAGCTCTTGTGTCCACTTGCCAAAACTGTCCATGATGCCATATATTGTTCTCGGACATAATTTAACGAATACCTTTCCCATTTGTTGCAGACAACTACCAGCAAGCCACTGAAGATTTCTTGCAGTGTTTGGCTATTCAGCAAAAATACCTGGAGCCAGACAGCCGACACCTGGCCGAAACCCACTACCAGCTGGGTATTGCCTACTCGCTGGAAAAGAACTACTCTGCAGCTGTCGAGCATTTTTCCAGCTCTTTGAAGTGCATCAACAAACGGCTTGGTATGTTTTACAGTAAAATTGACAGTAATGGCTGGCTAAAACCATGATGGGTTTGTGCTTGCACATCTGGCTTCAACAGTCTTTGGAAGTGCACTTTGTATTCGTTCTCTTGCCTGCCAAAACCCCTGGGGTGCGACCTAGGTAGCTACCCATTGTTAGTTGATTTTTGCCTTAGTCGCTAATTACTATACGAATGTTTACGGTTTTGCACTGACTAAACTCTAGCTGGTGGGAGTTCTGGTTACAATCCATGGCCTTTTTTGTTTGGTTGCATGTATGGTCTATAGCTCTTCTTTCAGAAGGCCTCGAGGAAGTGGAGCCTGCACAGAAGACTCCAGAAGTAGCATTTGCTTTGGCCGAGGACCAGAAGGAAATTGCGGCTTTAAAGGAACTGTTACCAGAGATACAGTCCAAAATCTTGGACTGTGAGGAACTGCAGGACCAACCAGAAGTCTCAAAAGTCATTAAGGAATCCATGGTAATTGGTCTTGAAATTTACATGTGGCACTATAATTGCAAAGTTTGTCTAGCGTCCAAAAAGGTAATACTATAATCGTGGGTAGCAATCTGGATTGTTAATCATATCAATGTAGGCCACTGCCTCATCTGTAATAGTTTGCCAAAAGGTATACCTTCCTACAGAGCTCTGGAAATTGACCTGTAGTTAACGTGTGACTTAAGTTCACTTTATTAAATAGTTTACCATTTGCATTCACACCACCTGATTTCAGGAATATATTAGTATATTTAAGTGAGCCAACCATAGTAGTATTTAACTTGGTGTACCATGTTTAAAAGTTGTAGACTTTTCACTTTTTGGGAAAAGCACCATTTTTGGTACTAAGCAAAAGCCCTTTATATGCTCATTTGAATCTTATATTCATCTTCATGCAATGTTCCCCCATCTTGAATTTTGTAGGATCAAGCAAAACTAACCACGGTTTCTAATCAAGGATATGAAGCACCCCAAAAACAGTATTTTTAACTAATGCTTGTAAACAATTGCTTGAATTTACACCAAACCAAATGTTGGTCCTCCACCTTTAAACTTAAGCCTGCTTGGGCTTGTGACCACAATCTTTAAATCTATACTTGTAAATTCCCATGCATAATTTGTACAAATGGTTTTTATCCTGTGCAGGTTGACTCTACGGAAGAAATCAAAACAATTGCATGCGAGGTGAAGGACATTTCTCACTTGGTGAAGAAAAAGGTAAAGCCACACCATCGTATACCTGACTAAATAAGCACTCTTGTAACTTTCAACAGCCTGGCGATTTGTATGAAACTGGTCGGTTTACTTTTTCACTTGCTGTGCATTTAAATATCTGAACGGACTTGCTCATTGTCTGCAACTTTCTAGCTAAAACTCCCACATCTCCGCCTCCCCAATTTTATCTGCCTACCTTGGTGTACAAAAATTGGGTCTAGTGTTCTTGTCCTTGGAACCCTGAAGCTCATCGCTTTGACGTTTAAAATAAACCTATGGATGCACTGCAGATATTTAAAATGTGTCCGAGCCTTGTTTACATTGGCTTAAATATTTCCATGGTTGGCATGTTGAATTCGTCAATCGTTATGAAAGTCGTCCAAGGACTCCTAGCCAGTTTTTTTAGTTTTACTTAATCTGTAATGCAGAATGCACTTGGATATATATGGCAAAGGTTCTCTATGTGCATACAATGTCATTGTCTATTCAGTGGTTCATAACCTTTTTAATTATTACATTCCTCTTCAACTTCCATTTTGTGGGCCACCACGCTACTAGTTGTATAAGTTGCATATGCAACCTTAATGTAATAACGTAAATGATTTGCACTCGGTAATCTTTTGTAATGTATACTTGGTGTAATTTAGCTTTGCATAGCAGTGGCGAGGACCGTTTTGAGGTAACTTACTGGATGACATGGATTGGTACTGTTTTGCTGGCCTTTCATGTCGGGTTCATGTAGCATAAGCCTTAACGAATTCCACATCCTAGTCAACTTCAGCATTTGATTTGAATGCAATTAAGGAAAATCCACTTTCAAACACATTGCGACCAAAACGCATAAAGAATGTCACCACCCCTTAAAGGATAGTTGTGGTTGCCAGAACCTAATACTAAGCCTGGTCTTGTTAATTTTTGTTTTGAAAACTGCTTAAACTTAGTTTTGTTCAGCCGTCTTGTGTGGTGTATTCACAGCACGCTGGTGGCACCAGACCCAAGTAAAAACAATACTATAAGCATACTTTGTAGGTCTTTAGAAACGCTCTCCAACGTATTTTTAATTGTACATTTCCTTGTAGAGGATGGTAGTTCCATGACCCCCCCCCCTCATAGTAGCCGTACATACCAACACCAGGGGTCTTTCCACAGGCATTGATGTTATATTATGGTGTAGCATTTTTTTTAGATTCTAATACTTTCTACCAGGAACACGGCTACACTGGCCATGTTAGATTATTTTAAAGTAGTTGGTCAGGCTTATGGGACATGCAAATTAGATGGTGTCCTGTTTATGCACCAATTTAAAAATTCCATTAGTTTGCCTTTTTGGAGAGCACTCCAAGATTTATGTAATTCTCAGTTGATATATCAAATGTTGCTCTGGATAACCCCTGACACCCTAAATGGCTTCAAATCTAGAATTGGCTAGAGCTGTAAACACTTTTCAGATGGGCCACATGGCGAGTATCTACCAGAGGTTGTATTTTATGCTTCAAACGATGCTAGGCAGTAGGTCGTCATCTGGACCTGGGTTCTCAGCTTGCAGGTGTTAATTGCGTGCAATTGCCTTTAAGCCTGCGCAGTGTGGAAATTCAACTGAAGAAACTAAAGGTGATGCAGAGGACATTTCTCACTTGGTGAAAAAGGTAATCTCAACTTTTGTATACGGAGCATTTAACATTTTGACTGCAAGCTGTTTACCTGTTGCACATTGGTTCACCACATCAGAACAAAATGGAAACCTTTCTAAATTTCTCTGGCGACAACATACCTGCACATGCTTGCTTGTTAACTAATCTGAATTTTTGCCTTTACTTTTTATGCCCTTTAAGCCTTTCACTTGCCTCCCTTTGGTCAGTCTTTAAAATATAATTGGAAGCTTATTTCCTTACAGCAGGTGGCTTGTTGAACTAAAATTTTCGTGGTCTGTATGCAAATGTTACCTGCCCTTGTGGAAACTTCTGGTTTCTTTTTACAGAGGAAACTGGAGGGAGATGATGCAGAGAACAACTCTGACACTAAGAAGCCAAAGCAAACTCTAGCAGAAGATTCTATAGATGATGCAGAGGAGAACTTGTGCCCTAATATTCAGCTCGAAGTAAGCATTTTGACCTACATAGATGTGTGGGGCTTGGGGGTAATTTAATGGCACTCCTTTTGCCTGCACATCCTATTTGGCAAATCAGTTTTTTGCTCCCCATACTGGGCGTTTCAATAACTGTTTGGATGAACAGGAGGTACAACCTGAACACTTTGGCACAGCCGCAAAACCATATGCACAACAATCCACTGACCCTGCATACAATTAAATGCATGTGCGATAGTGAGCTCAACCGCATGTGCAAAAACTTGGCTGTCCCAAGGAATGGAAGCAGTTGCATGTACCACAATATTTCATCTGTCACGTTTGATCCTCAACAGAATATTATGCATTTTGTTTATCAGGATGAATCCCAGGTGAAGGAGACTGCAATGGAAGTCATGGTGTAACCTCTGCCAGGAAGAATTGAGCAGTCTGCTTGCTATGTTTTTGCAAATTCTTGTTAAAAGCACTGACCGAGATGGTGCACTTACTGTTTAAAGTATTTATGGCTACGTTTTTATTCTACGTTCAATAAAGTTTGCATTTGTTAAAGACTCTTGTAGCTTGCATGCACATTTGTGTGACGGCAAATTGCACTTTACATACCTAGTGGTGTGGCATTTTCCCACTTGTTTTTAACCACTTATCCAAATCCAGGTGTAAAATCAGTACTGCAATATAGTACATGTTACTTCCATGGGAGTTAATGCTATAGCTATTGAAACAACCCAACCGTTTTGGGCGATTCATGTTTTGGGAAGACTATGTAGTGCCTTTTTTTTAATTGAGGGAGAAGTAAAACTAGTTTTGTACTGCGAAGTTGCTCCTTCCAAAAGCACAAGTGCCTCCTCTAGACTTTCCCCTGCAGTGGTATGGCAGGGTTCTCAGCCTTGGGTATGGTGGCACCAATTAAAGACCATAGTATCTCTATTTTTAAATCCTTTATATTAAGTTAGCTTGCGTGCTTGCTTGCGACCGTGTAAATCTTTCGGTCGTTTTTTAACCCACTTCCCATGATCCAATCGAGTTGACATTTTCCACAGACTCGTTGTGCGTGACAATGTTCGTGAATTTTTTTACCAAAATTTTACACTTTATAGGACAAAAATATTATATTTAATTACCAATTGTTTAATACTGCAGACAATCATCTGACCCATAGGTGGCAGCCGTCTCAAGCCAGAGGACGAGATGACTCTAGCCGCCACGCATATAAAGGATTTAGAGTGAAAAACTTTGTTTTTACGGGTTTACTTATTCACATTGACACCTTGCGTTGAACGCCAATAGTGGTACCTCCGTACGTCGTTAATTCGTTCCAGAAGGTAGGACTTATACCGAGAATGACGTATACCAAACGAATTTTTCCCATAAGAAATAAAGGGAAGGGAAATAATCCGTTCCAGAGTATGTGATATTTTATATATGGCATTGTACATTAATGGGGTTCTACAAAAAATTTAGACACTACTTATTACTAAAATGCATACACTAAATAAATTGAAATAAAATTTAACATCGCTTTACCTTTCTGAGAGGAGTTGATGGCCTACAAGGATGGTGGTGAGGAAGGGAGGGTCGTGAACGGGGTATATGCGTATCCCAAGACCCTTCTCGTCAAAACACGACGTATACAAAATTCGACGTTCCAAAGCAGTCGTATACCGAGGTATGCCTGTACTTTTAAACACGCGCACTTCACCCGTGCAATGTGCTAATTGAAAACATTGCAATATAAAAATGCATCCAGAGGTCTGCTTCTGACCTTGCATGCAATTGGGTTTAAATAAACGGATTGGAATTTTACATGGTGGCTTAAAACGTTTAACGTAAAATCCACTTTGGTTCTTTCGGTAGTCGTGTAGAAATAAAATAAATTACAGCGTTTCGATTGCAACAATTAACCGTCATCGAGTAGAAATAAATTTGAGACAAACAGACCCAATGCCTCTGTCGAGGCCTTAAAGAGGGGGATTGGTCAGATGTGGGTCTGCTGGGGCAGCTGCTAATTTCTCGGCTCCATGTCAATGAATCCACCCCGAAGCGACCTAGGGAAAGATCGAATGGCTCTAGTGAGAGCCTCGTAAATTTTAGACTTTGAAAACATTTAGCAAATTTTGGTAATGCAACAGTCAGCTAACAGTATCCTGGTTGATTATGATCTCCTAAGATTGCTAAATTTTAAGTTAAATTTGACAAACAGAACTTGCATCCTCCACGGAGAAGTGGTTCAAACGTGATTTTTGAAGCTTTCGTGACTGCATGGATCAAGCCGTGTAAAACTAAATTAAACAGTACAACGTTTCGATTGCAACACGCAACCGTCAGGTATAACTAAATTTGAGCGACACAAAACACACTTTAGTTCTACCTGATGACGGTTGCTTTTTGCAATTAACGTCGTACTCTAATTCTTTTTCTTTCCACGTGACTTTACCAAAAGAACCAAAGTAATTCCTGCAGTCACGAAGGCTTCAAATCAAGTAAAAATACAATCGTTTAAAACTTGGCAGGGTGGCGCGGTGAGTAACGTGCCTTTAAGACCCACTTTGGTTTGATTTCTGGACTGCCTTCTGTGGGGGGGGGGGGGGGGTCGTATGTTATCTCCCCCAGTTCTGATTTGGTTTTTGTCCTGGTTTCTCGAGCTAAACCTACCGTTAGTCATTATGCTGAGCAATTGCCTGAAACTACTCTATTCGCATCGCAACACCGTTGCCCCCTACTGCGACAACTTGGCAGACCATTCTGAAAATGTACTCGCCCTTCCCTGGGTAAACGGTGTAAATTGTCTTAATATAATTCTATTTAGGGTGAAGATGATCTATGGCATGCAATGCATCGCCCCCGTGAGAACACTCTGCAGAAGGTATTATTACGGTATTGCCTTTGAAGTAGCCTACTTGGTGCAAAACGAAATTGGTGGCATAAACTAAACTTCTCTTACCACGGGGGGGGGGGGGGGGGGGGCTGAAGCGCAGATTCAAACCCAGGAACTCTGGTACTGGCTCTGCTCTGATCCTAAAATCACCCGGCCGCCTTTAATATGAAATGAAAGTAATTTTGTAAAGCCACCCTTTGCCGTGCGCTGTAACCATTGGAAAGCTTCACCTGAACCAGTTGGCAAGCACTCCAGCTAGCGCATGATAAATTGTTGGGACGAGGGGGAACTACCCTCGCTCAATCGTATTTTAAGAGCGCATTAACAACACGCGTTGGGAATCCAGTGTATTCTATTTGCTAGGTTCACATGTTTATATGCACCCCAAAAGGGCTGCGCCAAATGTGTACAAAATTATGTTTAATCACTTACATGGGAGATGCGAAGCACGCATTGCTTTCTAATTTTGTCCATGAACACTATCGCTCGACCAGTGTTTCAAGTAAAGTCAAAACAAATTTTTTTCAGCGATATCCAAGGATCCCTGCGCCACGAAAACCAAGCAAAGCACACCACCACAACACGTTTTTAAATCTCCCAATTTGCCGCTCTAAAGTATTTGGGCATATGGTCATGGAAGAACATTCTTAATCTAGCGCTGCCTTAAAATAGGTAATGAGGCTAACGGAGGAGTCCAGCTGGATAAATGCTTTTAGGCCGATTAATCCGTGTAATCATCGTCCACGTGGCCTGTGTGGTAAAACACACTTGTGCTGGAAATCCTTTGATTATTTCATTCAGTTTGCCGAGCAAGATGAGCGATTAGAAGACGAAACGCAATGCGTCCCATGTAAATGTGCAGCCCGTTGTCCACTAACTTTGCTGCGTTAACACATTTGATTCCACACGCGTGTGCAATTCCTAACCGAGTCCTTCCAAGCAGACTATACAATGCCATAATTCCTTTAAATCTCTGCTGTTTGAGTTCCGTTGGGTTTGAGATTTTCTTTGACATACCCCAAGGACACCGAAACAGCGGCAACAGGGCACGACAATGGCTTGGTCTTCGGGCAAGGGGATGACCACGTCGACGCGGAGAAATGTACTCCGGCGTGCCACCACAGCCGACGCGGCGATGAACGAGACGCCGTGCCAGGCGCGCTCGCACTGCATGCGCGCCTGGAGCTCCTTGAACAACATTCCGTCGGCCTCGCTGTCGTCTCCCCACTGCGGGCCCACCCTCGTCACGCAGGGCGAGCCCATCCTGCACCTCAACATCGGCGGCACCAAGTTCAGGATCGCGCGCTGCGTCCTCGCGCGCCACCCGAAGACACGGCTCGGCCGCCTCGCCAAGCCGGAGCTGAGCTCCTCGGAGCGCATGGACGTCTGCGACGACTACGCGTCGGCCACCCGCGAGTACTTCTTTGACCGCGACCCCGAGGTGTTCCGCCTCGTGTTCACCTACTACCGCACGGGCGTGCTGTGGGTAAGCGACGAGCTGTGCCCAATCAACTACGTGGAGGAGATCCAATACTGGGGGCTGCAGGTGCGTCACACAAACCACTGCTGTCGCATCGTGTTCGAGGAGCGCCAGAGCGAGATGGAGGACAACCTGAAGGTGCAGCAGGAGCTGGAGAACGAGTTTGTGACCGAGACGAAGGAAGAGCACTTCCAGGTGAGGAGAGCAAGTGACGTTGCTACCATTGCTAAAGTCCTGCAATACAATGTACAGCTTTGGTTTCATGGTGTCGATGCATTGATGGTCGCAAGTCACGAACACAGTCGCGAGACCAAAGTGTCTGTGGTTATTGCAAATCGAACTTTGTGTTCACACAACGTTGACGACCGATCATTCCCATGTCTTGAGTGATTAAACTGAGGTGGCATGAATCGTGGTGTGCAGCAGCCTTTGTCTTTCAGGAAGGTTCAGGAGCGTACAACAATACCAATGGCAGCTTGTATAGCGCCTGATTGGGTAAATGTTAAAACAAGTAAACAACATTAGTCATGTGACAGGTATTGCTGCAACCGTAGATCGGCCGAGGAAGGAAGGGGCGTGAGGTTCGGCGAGGAAACATTTTCATTCACAACTTGAAATGGGTAAATTATTAAAAAACATTATTCCTCTTAATGACTATTAATACTATTAATAAAGTATTGGGACCTGCAGTGTTGTGGTAGCACAAACTGGATCGGAGGAAACAGTCTGATGGACCGAGTTCACATCAACATTGGTGGAGAGATCAAAGTGGAGTTCACGGGAACCATGAACGTGATAGCAATAGAAGCGTGACAAGGAGGTGGCCTGACGTTTGGGTATGGTAAGAATTATTGGCAGGGCTCTGCCTTAGTTGATTTCAGATAAGGGGCTCCTATAATCTAAACGTTCTCGAGACAAAACATAGACTCGAGTCCGTTTGCGTACAGTGGACATTGTTGACAAGGGGTCGATGATCAAATGTATCCCAGAATACACCGGATCTTGTCAGATCGGGAGCTAAGCCGGATTGAGCCTAAATAGCATTTTGGATGGGCGCTCACCGTACCTAACGAGGTGTTATAGGGCCCGCAGCTATATTATGGGCAGCGGAGGGCTTTGCGGCAAATACATTGTTGTACTTCACTTCTATGCTCGCAACTATGCTCAAACTGCACCGAACAAACGTGGTGAAGTATGGTCAATACAATACCGATGATCCGCACAATATTACCAGGCCTTTATCCAGCAGTCGATTGACAACGGGCTGTGTACTTGTTTACAAAGGGGGAGGGGTGATGGAGACCTGAGCGCACTGCACTACGAAGCCAGTGTCCTCGGGTTGATCCCCAGCCACAGTAAGCATCGGTGGCGAGTGATATCTGAACCAGTCCTGCTCCTCTCTCCGAACCAACCAGCACTCATCAGCGTTGCCAAGTATGGTAAACAAAACAAATCCCACGAATATCTACAGTGGGGAGATCTCCACCAGGACGTATGAACGATAATTATTCTTGTTGCATTCACACTTGTCTAACCATATAGACTGTCAGCACAGCCGCTGTTAGCAAGTGCCGACTAAGACCATTGTGGCATTAGTGGGGTAGCTTCGGTTGGCACGGGCTCCTGTCCACCTTGCCTCTATCTAGCCCGGTGCCTGCCCCCCTGACCCGATGACCCCTGTGCAGTTGCACCGCCTGCACACTCGACAGCTAGGCCACTACGTTGGCACACAATAAAGCGGTGAGAGCTGCCAAGAGTACATGATGGTTTCAAAGAACCAACTTCCATATTAGACCGGCATCTGAGTGAGGTCTAGACCAGAATTAAACACCAACTAACACTTTTTACGTGTGGATTTAGCTCTGGTTGCTGCGAGCGTAAGCATAATGCACCGATTACCATACACTACACGTAGGATTGCCACCTGAGATAGAGAATGGGAATAGGAAATAATCTCATCAAGGCAGAGGAGAGAACTACACAATAAATGCACCGTCTTGAGCAGTGCATTTATTGTTATTATGCAACTAACAATACCCGGGACTTTTAATGTCCTGGGAAGATTTATCGATTTCCCAGGACAGCTACCTCCAACCAGAGGAAAATCCTGGAAAACCCAGGACAAGTGGCAACCCTAAATGCATGTGTGTGACCTAGGACATACAAAACATCCACATGTACAGACACTTGACACAAAGTTGTGAAATGTACAGCAGGAAGTAATCTCGGCGATGGTATGCATTCTATATCTGGCAGAGAAGACAGAGCACTGGTGAGCTGTGGTGGTGATATCCATGGCTTTGGCCACGATGACATATTGATCTTTATCAATCTTCACAATTAAAAAAAGTTATATACATTTCCAGCCCTTTGTCAATCAAGTGCTGGACAAAGACCTCCCCATGCCGAGTTGTTTTATTGGAGGGGTTCTTTGTCCACACTTCACCACGCTGGTCCGTGTGAGTTGGTGAAGGGGGGGTACCCAGGAACCATTCAGATAGCACTCGCCACCGATGTAAGCCGTGGCAGGAAACTGCTAACTTCATAGCTCTGTGCGCTTAACCGCTCCCACATTCATTACGTTACCCACATGAATATTTTATTCTATTAGACAGCGCTTGACATATCATTTAAATTTGACATTATGTTAACCGCTCACAGCACCAAATGCCCAGTTTAAGTTAAATGAATTAAAATGCAAACTAACACGGTCTTTGTTGTTCACTCTCTCCAACTAAGGTTGAAAGTGTTATTGCATTTGCTCTGTCCCATCTTTAACAAGGGGCAATGATGATGAGAATTGTTACAAAGATGACTAAATATAAATACGTTTTGTATAATGTCGTGTTGCTAATAGAGTTGCCCTACAGAAAACCAAATGAATGTATGAAAGGATTTTCTCAGAACAGTGACAAATAACTAGCACTGAAACGATAACCCTTGTCATCCAATGGCTGTGCGCCATCATCTAATTGTGTAGTTTGAGAGGTAACGCTACTATCGGTAATTAAACATCCACGAGGACTAACTTGTGTTCTTAAGTTTCCAGAATCCTTGCGTCTGCGTGCATTTTTTTCTTCCTTGTTTTACCACTTCCAGGACATGTGCTTTGGGCGACAAAGACGCATCGTGTGGCATTTCATGGAGGACCCTTTCTCGTCCATCCTTGCCAAGATCATGGCGGTGGCCTCCAGCCTCTTCGTGCTCATCTCTATCGTGGGCATGAGCCTCAACACGGTGGAGGAAATGCACTCCAAGAAGCCGAGCAAAGGGGAGAAGACCTCCCTGGAGATTCTGGAGACCATATGCATCGGGTTCTTCACGCTTGAGTACCTCCTACGGCTGATCTCCACCCCTGACATCCGGGGCTTCCTCAAGGCGGTGAGCAACGGCCTCGATCTCATCGCCATCCTGCCCTTCTACATCCACTTAATGTCCGAAGAGCTCGTGGCCGAGGGGGACCACACGTATGATGGCGAGGTGCAGGCGGTGGACGGCGTCGGCAAGCTGGGGCAGGTGATGAGGATCATGAGGCTCATGCGGATCCTCCGCATCCTCAAGCTCGCCCGGCACTCCACGGGGCTGCGCGCCTTCGGTTTTACGCTGCGCAAGTGCTACCAGCAGGTGCGACACAGGAAAGATTTGCTGACTGGGTCTCAAGTTTCTTTGTCGGGTTTTTTCGCAGTCGGGGGCGATGTTGCCCACATGTAATATCAATAGAGTAACTTTGTGAGTAAAGATTTTAGCATTTGGATTTTTTTTTCGCCAAGACCAGCTACATTGTGTGGCGTGTTTTTTGCTACCGGAGGAAACCCATATTGGACAGGGGGAGAGCATGCACACTCCACACAGAAAGGCGCCCAAGTCGGGAATAACACACAGAACCTTGTTGTGAAAGATTGATGTGTTACCACTATGCAATGGTTCGTACACTGGACTTGCAATCCAATGGTTGCAAGTTCAATCTCCCAGCACAGCAGTTGAAAAAATGGTGTACGTTGATTAAATCCCTAGATTCTGTCCACAAAGTAGCAGACATCGGTACACCGCAGTTAGGCAGGTCTTGTGTGGTGGAGTAAAGTGTGAGTACTCTCATCTCTTCTAAAACGTCTGACCAACATGGAAGAAGAGGCCAAATACAATGTAGAGCTGGGCGGTGGTGGAATGCGCCTGTAATCCAGGTTTGTGGAGGTGAGGGTTGATAGAGCGCACAAATGTTGTGAAACTCCCTTCTTATTGGCGTCGAGGTGCCATACCCTGGCTTTCCAGGAAAAAACGGTACAACAAAATGTGGCCCGCACTTGCTGTGCCTGTATGGGACAGTGTTTCCCCCTCGCGTGCAATGGGTTTTCTCCGGGTGCTCTGATTTCCTTCCACATGTAAATACACATTAGTTTGCTGATAATACGTTAATATACAGAGCGTTGGTTCCCTATTAGAGGAGCTGTCTAGAGATATCTCTTGCGGTGGCGCGAGCAAGCATCTGCAGGGCTGCACCTTTACCATTGCTCCACAGGTGGGATGCCTCTTCCTGTTCATTGCGATGGGCATCTTCACCTTCTCGGCGCTCGTCTACTCGGTGGAGCACGACGTGCAGGGCACCAACTTCACGAGCATCCCGCACGCCTGGTGGTGGGCCACGGTAGGCCCACTCTCCCCGCTAGCCCCACTCCCCCCGCTAGCCACCCTCGCCCCAACCCCTTCCCGCCCCTCCCCCCAGGGCGCACGTGCCCCACTCGTGAACAAAGAACAATGGAACAAAAAAGCCTTAACAATATTTACCTGTCACATAAATTCAACACATCGTCAATACTACGGTGGCCTTCATAGCACATAATGTGATATGAAGAGCCATTGCCCGAAACGTCGTTTATTATGCATGTTTCGTTTTAAGGCCACAATGTTATTGACGAATGAGTTGAGGTTATTTTTCATGTTTCTGCTCGCGCACCACTGCTATCACAGCATCATCAAATAATGTTCTACCTCATATCAGAGATTATAAACTGCAGATAGCCCCCTCCTCTTTTCCCAACTTGCTCCACTACCCCTCCCCCCACTACCCCTCCCCCCATGCCCTTGCGCTAATTCTGGGAACGCGGTGTCCTTGGACGTCTCGTTCGCACGCTCTGCTGCTGCTGTCTCTTATTTGTGTGCATTTGCTTTCTTTTGCGAATGAATGAAATGTATTTTCATTTTTCAAACCAGTTAGAACATTTTGGCCACAGCCAGTGATCCTCAGCCTTTCACCTCTGCGTTAAAATGATGGAAAGATGCGCAATGTTACGTCAATTGTAATTATATTATTGACTATTAATTAAATATGATGGGCGTTAATTGAATGTCAATACATTTTCAATTGAGTAATTATGTATCGTTTAAAATGTTACAGTATGCCAGACATCCAACATAACTGGAAAAGCTCATACCCTGATTAATCCGGCTTTGACAGGTTTACTGTACAGCTAAAATCAACTCTGTTAAGACAGCATATATTCCTGTATCGATTTGAAAGGTTTCTGTACATTGTTCTGTTTCAATTGACACACTGGACACCCTCACAGACGAGGTGCTCCTTTACAAGAGACTGTCTGGGTGAACTATTATAAGAAGTGAAGATAAACGTATTGCAATGACATAAAAAAGCCACACACGGAAAGGTGCCCGAGTTGGGAATCAAACCCAGGATGTTCTTTCTGTGGAGCACTGTTGGTGCGCAGGCAGTGGATACCTAAACTGAAAAGGGATGCGTCGGTGTGAACGTGGCACATGCAGGTGGCCATCTCCACGGTGGGTTACGGGGACATGTACCCCGAGTCATTCCTGGGCCAGTTCTTCGCTTTTGGCTGTATCTCCTTCGGCATCATCCTCAACGGCCTGCCCATCTCAATCCTCTTCAACAAGTTCTCCGACTACTACGCCAAGCTCAAGATGCAAGAGTACCGGGTCAAGCAGCGGGGCAAGATTGACTTGAAGCGACGGGTCTGGCGCAAGATCACTCATATCCTCAACAATGCGGATGGTGTGCATGGCCACGGCAATTGATTCAACTGCGCCGTCCTGCAAACTAATTCAAGAAGTGCAATCTTACTCAGTTGCACAGATTTTTTTTTTTACAAAGTACACATTAAAAAATTGCATTGCCGTCTTCCAACGCCGATCCACACAATGCTGTTTTCACGAGCTTTATGCTGCCTCGACAAGATTGACAATGAAATCCCCGACCGTGTTCTGTTCTGACCTGACGTTGGGGAGCTGCCCATAATTTGTTGTGAATAAGTCCTCGGTAGCACCGTGTCCAAGTGTGAACTCCACTGTAAATGGGAGTTTAACTTTGACTGCATCATCCTAGTGTAGAGGTTTGGAAATGTATTATTGGATATATTTGTCAGGAAAAAAACAGAGGGGAGGCATTGGATAGCAAGATGCTATTTGTGCAAACTCATGAGAGTGGTGAAATATGTTAAGGTGCACTATCTAACCTGGGGGGGGGGGGAAGAAATGACCAGTTTAGCCAAGTTAGAGTAATGTTTTACACTTGTAATAAATGACTATCAGGCGATGCTGGTCTCCATTCGTCTTTAATTTAGGTTCTTCTCCGCACCCCCACTTGGCCTCTTCCTCGGACCAGTGCTGTCTCGCGTGCGCCCCGCGCACGCTCTCTCTCTCTCCCGGACCAGTCCTGTCTCGTGTGCGCCCCGCGTACGCTGTCTCCCTCTCTCTTGCCCGCACACTCCCCCGTTACCTCCCCTATTCCCGCACTCCGCACACCGCTGGACGACGGCGTGCAGAGGTCCTTCGGCCACGTGGCCGATGGCGCGGATCCCTCTCACCACCCAACGTGGCTCAGCCTCTTAGATTCCCCAACTGCCCCGATCTCTTCCGGGCTCCCACTTATATACATTCCCCCCACGTGACCCTGACTCCTCCTCCTGATCGTCAGATCCGGCCTTCCCATACTATCTCTCTCTCTCCCGCTGGCTCCGTTCCCATTCACGTCGCCCTCATTGGAGCCGAGGCGAACGGTGGCCCCTCCCACACGGCCCGCAGACCAGGCTCCGCCCACCAATACCCCCGGCCGTGTGATTGGACCCGAGCCCAGCAACAACCCCATTTACGCTCGCATTACATACTGTTAAACACCACAGCAGCACAAATTAAGATATTCAAGTGATTGTAAGTTATCAAGCTCCTGCTTCAGTGGAGCCATTCATATTATTTAGCTATGTATTAAACAGTGGGGGGGGGAAGTATTTGATCCCCTGCTGATTTTGTACGTTTGCCCACTGACAAAGAAATGATCAGTCTATAATTTTAATGGGAGGTTTATTTGAACAGTGAGAGACAGAATAACAACAAAGAAATCCATAAAAACGCATGTCAATGTTATAAATTGATTTGCATTTTAATGAGGGAAATACGCATTTGACCCCTCTGCAAAACATGACTTAGTACTTGGTGGCAAAACCCTTGTTGGCAATCACATAGGTCAGACGTTTCTTGTAGTTGGCCACCAGGTTTGCACACATCTCAGGAGGGATTTTGTCCCACTCCTTTTTGCAGATCTTCTCCAAGTCATTAACATTTCGAAGCTGACGTTTGGCAACTCGAACCTTCAGCTCCCTCTACAGATTTTCTATGGGATTAAGGTCTGGAGACTGGCTAGGCCACTCCAGGACCTTAATGTGCTTCTTCTTGAGCCACTCCTTCATTGCCTAGGCCGTGTGTTTTGGGTCATTGTCATGCTGGAATACCCATCCACGACCCATTTTCAATGCCCTGGCTGAGTGAAGGAGGTTCTCACCCACGATTTGACGGTACATGGCCCCGTCCCTCGTCCCTTTGATGAGGTGAAGTTGTCCTGTTCCCTTAGCATAAAAACACCCCCAAGGCATAATGTTTCCACCTCCATGTTTGACGGGAGGGATGGTGTTCTTGGGTTCATAGGCAGCATTCCTCCTCCTCCAAACACGGCGAGTTGAGTTGATGCCAAAGAGCTCCTTTTTGGTTTCATCTGACCACAATACTTTCACCCAGTTGTACTCTGAATCATTCAGATGTTCATTGGCAAACTTCAGACTGGGCATGTATATGTGCTTTCTTGAGCAGGGGGGGGGACCTTGCGGGCGCTGCAGGATTTAAGTCCTTCACGGCGTAGTGTGCTACCAACTGTTTTCTTGGTGACTGGTCCCAGCTGCCTTGAGATCATTGACAAGATCCTCCCGTGTAGTTCTGGGCTGATTCCTCACCGTTCGCATGATCATTGCAACTCCACGAGGTGAGATCTTGCATGGAGCCCCGGGCCGAGGGAGATTGACAGTTCTTTTGTGTTTCTTCCATTTGCGAATAATCGCACCAACTGTTGTCACCTTCTCACCAAACTGCTTGACGATGGTCTTGTAGCCCATTCAGCCTTGTGTAGGTCTACAATATTGTCCCTGACATCCTTGGAGAGCTCTTTAGTCTTGGCCATGGTGGAGAGTTTGGAATCTGATTGATTGCTTCTGTGAGCAGGTGTCTTTTATACAGGTAGCAAGCTGAGATTAGGAGCACTCCCTTTAAGAGTGTGCTCGTTACCTGTATAAAAGACACATGGGAGCCAGAAATCTTTCTGATTGAGAGGGGGTCAAATACTTATTTCCCTCATTAAAATGCAAATCAATTCATAACATTTTTGACATGCGTTTTTCTGGATTTTGTTGTTATTCTGTCTCTCACTGTTCAAATTAATCTACCATTAAATTTAAAGACTGATCATTTCTTTGTCAGTGGGCAAACGTACAAAATCAGCAGGGGATCAAATACTTTATTCGTTCACTATACTTTTTCAGTGAAATGGGACCCATATCGTAGAGACAGGGGCCTTGCCTGTTAAATTGTCATGTTTACAAACAACTGATTCATGAGCCTGATGTTGCTGAAGAAATACTTTGTCAAAACTGGTCTAGAGTTTTCTTGTCTTGAATCATTGTTGCTGAAATAATGCACTCTCAGACGATCGTGCTGCTGATGGGTTGTGTAAGCAAGACCTTAGAAATAATTACGTGGAGACGGATATATAAAGGATACATGTTATCTGCTCATCTAATTTGTTTGTAAAATAACAGGTTAATAAAAAAAACAAGCAGGTTTTTTTACTGAAGATCTCGATGTTACCAGAATTTTTTCGCGCAATAATTTTTCGTCTTAATTAACCTGTCACTAATCATAGTTGTACGATATTGGCGTATTATGATTGTGTGTAATATTGCAGTTGCTAGGTGATTTTAGTTTTCCGTTCCTCTGTCAGCTGGCTGAGTCGTGAACTTTCTACATACGCAATCATGTCATACTTGGGGGTCTCTAGAGCAATTAAGGCCAATTGCAGGTCGAGTGACATAAGTACTAAAACATTGGGATGATCAATTACAGTTCATCAAGCTGGGAGATGAACAGTCCTCACCTAGTCTGTGCCGAGTTTGGCGTACCACAGGGATTCCTCCTCAGGACCTTCCTATTTTCAACATGCGTCTCTCCGATCGCCGATGCCATCTCATCGCATGGCATCGAGTTCCATCAATATGCTGATGATACACAATTGTATACCGCACACGAGTGGTGTACATGTGTTTTGCACGAAACGAAATGCTGCTTAATTTTGAAAAATCGGAGGTTCTGCTGGTTGGGATGATCAGGTGTGGTCGTCGCAGACTCCAGGATTCAGTTTCTAAAGAGCCTCGGCACTATACTCGACCAGTATGTCATTTGATCACCACGTGTAGAATCTAGTTTAGTCCTGCAATTTTCATATCAGTGCTCTGACATATTCGACCACGATTGAGTCATGACATAGCCAACAAGGTGGCTTGTAGCATAGTCTCAACAAGGCTCCGTTACTGCAACCCACAACTTTACGGGACGTCTGGCAAAAACATTACCAAGCTGTAGCATGTTCAACATTATTTGGCACGTTGTGACGGGTACTGCAAAATGTGGCTATGTCCGCCCAGTGCTCGCCAAGCTGCATTGGCTTCCGGTTCCTGAACAAATATATTATAAGGTCGCACTCATTACACACAAAATGGTTGCCAAAAATGAACGACAATACCTTGCTGATCTCATCCAAGGAACATAAACCACCATGCAAACTCCGGTCACCCTCGGAGCCACTTTTGGATTGGCATCAAACGGAGACGGTCACTGCATCGCGTGCTTTTATGCGCTTCTGTGGCCATCTGGAACGCTCTTCCTTCTGAAGTATTGGAAATGACGGCAGGAACTTCTTGACGGGTAACACACTTTTATTAAATCTTGACGTGTCACAATACAACGTGTGGTCTCTATTCTTTGTATTATACACTCCACTTAACTCGTGTAGACTCTATGCCTCTGGCTACACACAATACACTTGACTCGTGTAGACCCTATGCCTCTGGCTACACACAATACACTTGACTCGTGTAGACCCTATGCCTCTGGCTACACACAATACACTTGACTCGTGTAGACCCTATGCCTCTGGCTACACACAATGCATTCGGCTCGTGTAGACCCTATGCCTATGGCTACACACAATACACTCGCCTCTGGGTTACACAGAGTCCCGGTCCCGTTAGGACAGCGGGACTAGGTACCGCAGGGCCCTATCTCTTCGATCCCCATCTTCATTCTTCGCTGGTTACATACTGCCCTTACGCCTGTGTGCATCCCCTTTTATAGCCCCTGCTCACGGGAGACGGAGCTGATGCGGACGTCTACGTGAGCATCGCTCCTTAGTTAACCAATCACGACGCGCTCTCTCTACGATCCGTTTTCCCCCAGCGCGTGTTAACACTACTCCACCAATCACACCGCGCTGTCACCTGATCACTCCCTCTCAGCGCGTCACCGGCACACAGCCAATCAGCACCCCGTAACCCACGACCCCGCGCTGACCCCTGATCCTCCACCGTCAGCACGCGTCACCACATACACAGCCAATCATTACGTGCTGGCATACGATCCCTAATCCCAGCGCGTATCACCACTACATCACCCCCTCCCACATAGCTTGCAGCCGGCCCGGCTGTTAACCAACAAC